TCTTGTACTGCAGAAATTGGAGAGGGCAGGCTTTTGACTCCATCAAGTTAAATCCTATGCATGTGCTCAGTGACTCTCTAGAGAGAGGATCAGTTTTGAGTCAAGAGCACACAACACCTGTGAATTCATGCACACTTGTAAGATAATGCATAAGCTTTTCCTATATCAAAAGCATTCAAAGCTGTCAAGTTTTGTGGGGGTGCCATAAACAGGATTGTGGGAACAAAGGACAGTTGTGATACAAAGCAGAAGTCTGTGCTAAATGGCCATAAAATGAAAAACCAAAAATCCAGTCAAGGAGAAAGACTATAACTATGGATACAGTATCTTTACACAATTGGATATGGAAACCCCAATCAATCTAAAATGTTTAAAGGCTCTTCAAGATGTATTTTATTTGTTTGAAGAGTTTTTTTGTGACATACACAATAAATAGAGAAAGGGAGTGTTTAGGATGGTATGTATGAGTAGCACTGCCACATGGAAATGAAAACAGCATTCTAGATCTCGATTCAACCCAAGGACACATCATGCACATTTTATTTTCACTTAGGGGAAAAACAACCCCACATGTAAATCGCTATTCTACCTCAGCCTATAGTGATTGCCAGGTACTGAGGTCAGGCTGACTGGTCTATAATTACCAGGATCCTCCTTCCCACCCTTGTTGTGAATGGGTATCACACTGGCCAGCTTCCAGTCATCTGGAACCTCACCAGTGAGCCAGGACTTTTGGTAAATGATGGAGAGTGGCTTCTCAAGCTCATCTGCCAGCTCTCTCATCACCCTGGGGTGGATCCCATCTGGGCCCATTGATTTATGAATATCCAAGCATCTCAGAAGTTCTCTGACTGCCTTCTCTTGGATAATGGGGGGACCATTCTGTTCCCTGACACCATCTACCAGCCCAGGAGGACAGCTGTCCAGAGGACAAGCCGTCTTCCCACTAAAGACTGAGGCAAAGAAGGCATTAAGCACTTCCACCTTCCCCTCATCTGCACTTACTAAGTTCCCTCCCACATCCAGTAGAGAACAAAGGTTGGTCTTACCCTTCCTTTTGCTATTAATATTGTAAAAACATTTTTTATTATCATATACAAAAGTTGCCAAATTAAGTTCAAACTGAGTTTGGCGTCTCTACTTTTTTCCTACATGCCCCAGCAAGCCCCTTAAATACTTCCTGAGGGACTTGACCTTCCTTCCAAAGATGATACATCCTCTTTTTATTCCTAAATTCCTTCAAAACCTCATTGCCCATCCAAGCTGGGTGTTTACCTCATCGGCTCGTCTTTTGGCACACAGGGACAGTCTGTTCCTGTGCCCTCAGGATCTCTGTTTTGAAGCACACCCACCTTTCCTGAACTCCTTTGTTTTTAAGTGCTGCTTCCCAAGGAACTCTCTAAGTCTCCTGAGCAGGCCAAAGTCTGCCCTTCAGAAGTCCAACATAAAAGTCTTATTGGTATTCATTTCACCAAATATCGAGAACTGTGTAATTTCATGATCACTCTGCCCCAAGCAGCCTCCAAGCACCACATCTCCCACCAGCCCATCTCTATTTGCAAACAGCGGGTCTAACATAGTCCCTCCCCTGGTGGGCTCTCTCACCAGCTGTGACAAAAGTTATCCTCTACACACTCCAAGAACTTCCTGGACTGTCTCTGTTCTGCTGTATTAAGTTCCCAGCGGATGTCTGGTAGGTTAAAGTCACCTACAAGAGCAAGGGCTGTGATCCTGACACATTCTCCATCTGCTTGTAGAATAAGTTGTCCACCTCTTCCTCCTGCTTGGGTGGACGGTAACAGGCTCCCAGTAGGATGTCAGCCTTGTTGGCCTTCCCTTAATTCTTACCCACAGGCATTCAGCTTCATCATGATAAGTTTCAATACCCATGGCATCAAAAGCCTTGTTAGTATAAAGGGCCACCCCTCCACCTCCTCCCCATTTCCTGTCTCTGTTTAAGAGTTTGTAGCCATCCAGTGCAGCACTTCAGCTATGTGAGTCGTCCCACCACATTTTCATGTTGCAGTTTATATTCATTCAGAACTACATTCAATTTAACATAGCTTTTGTTTATATAATGGAATACATAGCTCCCGCTACTCCAAGATGATGAGAACAGCTCACCTGAAAAACAGCATTTAATGCCTGAAGAAAGAGCATGGCAAGATTTGTGAGGTAGTGTTCAAGAACGGCCTCCTTTTAAAGTGAAGATTTTGTAGTGGGTTTCCAAAAGACATGCTGTAAATGCTTCATTTTGCTTTTTTTATTTGCTTATGCTGAACAAGAAGAAGTTTCAGGCAAAAGTATTCTGACACATCGGAGATTAGACACCATTCCTTTAAAGGGTTACACTTCTTCCTGTTTCTACAACCCAAGGAGAAATTAATTGATAATATATGGATGTGAAACTCCTCCCAAAGCCAAGGGATCATTTGACTTGAGATACGATCATGTTTTTGTAGAGATGCTGGAAGCTACTGCTATGATCAACATTCACCACACTTGTACAGAAGTGTAGAATTAACAAGTCCCAGGTTTTCTTCACCTGAGTTTTCTTGCTGATGACTCTTCCTCCTTGCCCTGCTGTTCTTCCTTCTCTATCTTCCTTTCTTGATCCCCAAACAAGGACCACTGTCCTAGTTAATTCTTCTTGCCAGGGTTAGCTGTGTAAAGAGAAGCACAGCAGGCAGACCTGTCTGCCTCAAACTGCATATTTCAGAATCACTTACATCTCAGTCCTGGAATGACTTCACAGAGAATTCCACCAGGTAGGATTATTAGTTTGTAGGATTATTATTAGGTACGATTATTATTTAGCATGCTGTGCTGCTCTTCACTCACCCCGCTCCTCAGCAGTTAACGACTGCAAGCGAGGTGTCTAGATGAAACAGCTGGCAAATCATCCAAGGGACAATTAAAAGGGAAAAAAAAATTAGCACATACTACATTTCCAAAGGTAGAATGAGAAATAACAAAATGAAACAAAACAAAAAACAATACCAAAACAGAATCAGGAGGGCAGGTGCTCAGTCAGCTGCTCATGCAAAGAGAACAGTTGACATAAATACAAATAGGTGGGAATGGCAGCAATGTTTGCTTCCCACAGTATTAATCAACAGGGCTTTAAAGCAAACAGAAAACTCCCTGAGATTGTCTGCTGGTTTGAGTACAGGCACACACACACCTCTACAACACGCACACACACACACACACACACACACACTGCTTTAACCAGGCAAACAATCCAGGTAACTAAATTCTACATCTGGACATTAGAAGTTTTCAGACACAAATTTGTTCAGTTTTACAAATGCCAAACACTGTGTGCGTCTGAAAAATACAAATGGAAGAACAGTGTGCTTGGTTAGTAGATTGTTGCCTATCTCATAGAATCCATGTGTATAATAACTAAGGTACTCTATTTTAAGACAAATGTCTCCATTATTATAGACACTAACAAGATTTTTATGTATTCTGTACGCTCGCAAATATGTAATTTATTTCTTTAAGATAGTAAAGCTGGCTGCAGCACATCTTTAGAAATTGTTAATTGCCTTCAATATTTCTGTATATATGTGGTTGTCCAAGCTAATGAATTAGGGTGAGGTGACATTTCGCACTGTATACACCCTGTGTGTGTTCTTAGCAATATATAGTAATTCAATTGTAACTAAATCAACAGTTTTTAATAAGCTCTTTCTCCACTTTAGGCCTGAAGAGTGAGGAGGTTATGGACTTCTAGCATTTGATGAAAGAGAAAGCAGATGAAATCAAATGCCCTGTAGCATGCAGGTTTGACTACTAGATCCAGTATCACCCTTGCTGTAAGGGTCATTTTCTCAGAAGTGCCTGTTACATACACCATCAAAACCTGAATATGAAAAAATTTAATATCCTGCAGTAAAAGCATGTCTACGTAGACATCTTGACCTAACTAATAAAAAAAAGTAACTGTTTTCCTGTTCTTATGCTTACATCCAGTTAAAGAAGAAAAAGGGTCTTTATTTTATGAAAATTATTTTATGCCTTAAAAAACCCTGCACATCAAACTGAAGTAGACAATGTGACTGATTTTTGGCTACAGAGAGGTCAGAGTTGGCTCCATCTGTATGCAGTCTTTACATAATGTATTTATAGCAGTCCTTAATAGTTGATTTATGTTCAATCAAAGCTACAGCTGCTACTTAGTCCAGTTTGATTCAAATATTGTAACCACAAGGGCACAAAAAGTCTCAGATTGCTGCTTTAAGACTATGGTTTATTCCCCAGGTCAGACCGGATCATTTAATCAGATACCCTCATCTATATCGTTGTTACTTGACATTCCAAAAGCAAACCATGCGCTAGCTAATTCCATGAACAAATCTCGCTGGAATTAATTCCAAATATTGCTGCTGTGTTCAAACACAATCTGCATGGCACTGATTTAAAGAAAAAAAGAAACAGGAGAAGAGGGCACAACCTCAAGTTGCAGCAGGGAAGGTTCTTCCCTGAAAGAGCCATTAGATTTTGGAATGAGCTGCCCAGCCCAGGGAGATGGTGGAGTCAGCGTCCCTGGAAGTGTTAAGCAATGACTGGGTGTGGCACTCAGTGCCATGGTCTGGCTGATAAGGTAATGTTGGGTCACAGGTTGGACTCCATGACTTCGGAGGTCTTTTCCAACCGGATTCCACGACCTCTTCCCTTCCACTTGTGGGGTTTATTATTTAACCTCGATGCTGCCTGGATTCTCCACTGTGTGGCACAAGCGTGAAACCCTGGCGCTTGCTCCTGTCCCCAAGGGAATGCCCTCGGCAGGAGCAAACACAGGCAACCTCTGCCTCACGGCAGAACGCCACACTCCGCGCGGCCTGCCCGGTCTCCACAGGGACAACCCCGACCCTTCCGGGCCTGGGCAGAGTGAGGGGAGGGCACGGGAAGGCAGGAGGGCGCGGGAAGTGCGAGGGGAGGGCACGGGAAGTGCGAGAGGAGGGCACGGGAAGGGAGGAGGGCGCGGCCGCTGTCGCGCTGTGGAGCGTCACAAGCTGGGGGCGGAGGCGGTGCGGCCGCGCTGCGGGAAGGGCGAGCGGGGTGAAACGAATCGGAGACCCGCGCTCTCGGGCCGGGCAGGTGGGTAGCGGGCGGCACTGCAGGGGCCTGGGCCAGGCCGGCTGGCCTAGGGCGGGGCAGCGGCCCCGGGTCGGGGAGAGCCGGGGAGGCCATCCGTCCGTTGTGGGCGGGAGGGAGAAGGCGAGCGGGAGAGCCCATTCCCGAGTGAGGGGAGGACTGGGCGGTGGCGGGAGTGGGTCAGGCCGTCCCTGGCTCTTGGAGAAACCCATCCCGACCGCTCTCGCTGCGCTTAATTAATACTGTCACTGGGTTATTGATTCACCGCAGCGTTGCTGCTCAGGGACCCGCCGGTCCCGAGCGTAGCAATTACACGGTCTCCTGTGGAAGTGTGGCTGACTTGTGCTTCACGTTTCCCGCAGGATTCAGCGTTCCCATCCCTCGCCTTCGCCTGGCTGAGCCAGAGCTCTTCGCCACTGCACTTTACAGCCTGGCACCTTGATGGAAACAGATGTTGATGGTGGTCCGAGGTGACGTATGCCCGAGGAGCAGCAGGCCTCCTTTCTTGTTTTGCCACAAAAAACTTTGTGGGAAAACAACTCTGCAGCCAACTTTGGCTGGCCCTGTCTCTGGGATTTAAATTGCCTCTCCTCAAACAATCAGTTTTTCTTGAGTTAGACCCTGAACTGGGGTCTTCCAAGGCTTCAGCTTTTAAGGATTTGATTTGAACAAAGGTTTGATTTGATTCTTAAGCATAGCCTAGCATACCTTGTCAGGAAGAAGTTCAGTTGGGAAAATGGCCTGTATGACTTCAATTATTATATATATATTATTTATACTAGAATATTACTACTACTTCTAGAATCCGAAAAAAAGGATGTATCGCAACCCTTGGTATTTCAAGCCCAAAGTTGCAGTCAGAACAATATAAACTGTATAATGCATTTTAAGCAAAACACATGCTGTGTTCAGCTCGTGCTTTCTAACAGTTGCCATGTTTATAAAGTCTCTAACAGATAGAATTCCAAGCTCTTATTGTAAAGGAGTATGTTCATCTTATATTGTGCCTGTTTTGCAGATATTTGTGGGGGTTAAAAGATTTGAACTCCAGCTGAATAAAACAAGGGCTGAAAATTGAAGGATGGCAGCAAATCCTTCAGGACAAGGTAGGTTTTAATTTAAGTATTCAAGGAAAAGTAAATGCAAAATATCAGTGAAATCACCATGACTGTAAGTTTATTTTTATGGAAAGATGAAGAAAGGGAGGAGAGGTGGGGCTGAAAGCAGCAGAATGGCAGCAATTCTTCTGGGACAAGGTACACGCACATTTAATGGTTGAAAAAGACCACTGATGGTTGGGAAGCTCTTTATTACTGAGCACAATGTTGTGCTCAGGGTTAGGAAGTAGGTATCATGCCTATGCTACAGTAATCATTTCCTGAAGCTTATTTCAGACACTTACAGCACTTGGCCTTGAACATGACTTGCAGCTCTTGCACTCAACATCAGAGAACAGCCAGAAGTCAAATACATTCTATGGGAACAGCAAGACCCAGGCAGTAGTATCTGTCACAGCAGCAATTGGCCAGGCCTAGGAGAAAAAGCCAGTTAAAACCGTAATGGTAACTGCGATGAAATGTTCCTTTATACCAAGATGTATCTCAATTGTATCCGGAAAATTATAAAAATCTTAGTAATGGTCCATCTCTCCAAGTGCTGCATGTGCTTTAGAGGGGGCTGAAGGTCTGGAGGTGCCACGCAGTGAATTTGAAGGAGGATCTTAAATCGCCCTCTAGAGGTGTTTTCTGGAAACCTTAGAGGAGCTCTGAGGCTTTTCCTATGTGGAAGAGCTGGGGACAAAGCTTCTCAGGTATGGCTCTTCCCTTACTCGTTTATGAGAAATGAATTCTGGGTTCAGTTTCGAAGCAAGTGGAGACTTTTTGCAGGTCTGTCTTTGTGTCCTTACCTCAGGCAGTCCTGCAAACCTGGTGTTGCTGGATGATACTTCAGGGGGTGTCCTATGATTCGTGTGGTCCAAGCCACAGATTTTACTTGCTACTTGATGGAAAGGAGGTAGTTTCAGGAATGGTTTTTGAGATTTTGTGAGGTGTTGAGAGAGAAGTACTGCAGATTGCAGAGCTGTCTGTTTGCAAATTTTAACTTGAGAAAGTTTTTGGTACGTAATGGTAAATCTTGCTTTTATTCTGTGAATATGAAGTCAGCATCATTGCAAGGAATAGAATGTTGTCACGGAGAGTCAAAAGCTGCTCTTTCTTAAATATGTTGGTTTACTGAGAGATGGGATTTTAAGGCCGGAATACTTTTGCTTCCCTCCTGATTCCAGCGACCTATAACTTAATAGAGCCTTAGAATCTTTTATATTTGGGATATCCTTTATAGTCTTATTAAAGGAACCATGCAGTTATTATTTGAAAATTGTTTGCACTAAGGAGACAAGAAACACTATCAAGTTTAATTACCAAATAAGCCTATAAGTATTACAACTAGGAAAATTAGAAAGGAACAGTAAATATGAACAACAGTTCAGGGTTTCTGTCTTTGCTAGATGCAGTCTGGTAGTGAAAAGGACTGTGAAAAACACTGCATTTTTAGCTTGCCTCCTGGCATATGTATTAGTACTGTTCAAGGAATCCATTCTCTTCACTTGGACAAAAAGCATGCAAGTTTACTGAAATGCTCACCAGAAGGGTTTTGAATGGTAGCACTTAGGCAGAGCTGTAAGGATGAATTAAACAGTAGCCTTCTACACAGGTAGACAGTGATGGGAATTTTTTGTACTGAATTACTGCTTTTCCTCTGATTTGTATCAGATATTTTCTTAGGAATAAATAGGAGTTTTCCATTGATAACAGACTGGGACTATAAAACTGAAGATGTTTTGAACCAGACTTTTATTCACTGGCCTCTTAGAAAAGCACTCTTGGTAGCGAGCGGCCTATGAGTGCAGAAAAACCAAGAAGAATTGAATGAAAAGCCTTATTTCAGTTCATTAGTACCACAGGGAACTGATGGCATGAGACTGACTGTGGCTTTAATAAGCAATAGAAGGTCTTGCTGTATGTGTGCTGTGTGTTGTCTACCACATGCACTCATTGCCCAGAGTGATACACTTTGAGGGGTGGAAATCAGCTTCTGAATTAGAGCAAATACTTCCAGGTGCTCAGGAATACACTGCTCCTACTGCAGTACTTCACAGTACTTAGGCAACATGCATTCATCAGGCTGTTCTTGTGAAATGCCTGTGCTTGTGTGCAGCAAGGCCAGAGCCTTGCTGTGTGTAACTGGATTAGCCACTCTGTGTGTGAGTCCTCCTAGAGGAAGCTGTATGAAATGAGAGAAATGTAACTGCTCAGGGCCGAATTCTCCTTTTGGTCCTCAGAGGTGGAAAAGATACAGATCCTGCTTCAGATAGTGCTGAACGTTTCAGAAAATAAGAGTTCTGGTATGTTGGAAGAAGAAGCTCTTGAAATATGAACAGAATTCTAAGTTTCAGGCTGCAGCAATTCTAGAGTGTCTTTATGTCCTGAAAGTTGTTTATTCATTTTTCTAAAGATATGTGGGGACATTCCCAGGGCACATTCTAATCAGTTAGATTTGGGTCTCTGTTCACTAGTCTGAAAAGGAAGATTGTGCTGTTCTGCATTGAATTATGTCATCATCTACACATTTTGCCCTTCCCAATCTGAGTCTGATCTGTGTGTAAACATAGTGCTTGAGAACTTTGCAGCCATAAAGCTGTCAATTGCTTATATTATATACATATATACTTATATACATGTATACTTACAGGTATTTTCTGGAGGCACAGACAAAATACTAATGTATTTTTAAGTAATTCTACTTAATTTACTGAATAACCAGTACACCTTTTGTTTCATTGTCACACAAAGTATATGAAAGCATTTCCAGATGTAAATTATTACTGAGAGCATTGGCATGCAGCAGATTGTTAGATGATGTTTTGAGATGCCAGTCATCATAAGCAGAAGAGGCCATCAGAATAGAATTACTCCATTTTCTTCACAAGCGGTGTGTTTAATATGGACTTTAGATTCTGCTTGTTAAGAGGCTGCTGCCTCACTTAATGAATACTGGCATTTATAGAAACATGCACTTCAGTAAAGAAATTGCTTTAAGTCCTTTCTGAATTGAGCAGGTAGGACAAAATGCAGTGCCTTTCCATGTTCAGAGCTTGGAGGTCACATACAGCTTTGAAAGCATTTTCTAAGTAAAAGTGTATTTTGGACACAAAGTAACAAGAGGGCTTTTTAGTGCTGTTACACATCTATGGGTAAATGATAAACGGTGCATCTTAGAATAAACTTAAATGTCCTGTGAATTTGAAGCAGCAAATCAAGGAATGATCAAGGAGAAAAGATAATCAATGAGAAGCAAAAAATTAAAAACAGATAAATATAATGCTGTTGCTAGCTATGCAGAGTTAATTAGAAGAACTAACTGACACAGGTAATGGTTAGATAGGGTGGTAGATAAAATGTTGAGAGTAGGTTAAAGAGAGAGGCTTGCTGTGAGCTCTTAAAGCTGGCAGTATCACTCAGCAAGGTTTCAGCTTTCTCTGGCTTTCTGCCTTTCATGTGCAGAAAATAGGTGCAAGTAATCTTTCTCGTCCTGCACAAATACAATGCTTGATGTCAGAAACAGAGGTGTCAGAAAGGTTTAAATTTTGAATGTCCTGAATTTGTTACATTAGAGAGTAATCTGAGGATCTAGGTGTTCAGTTTGACATCTGACACTCCCATGATCTATTTAGCTGCCTTGAATAGATTGTTTTGTGTCAGGACTCATGTCAGCAAAGCTGAGAAAAATCCTTATAAACTGCAATATATGAAGTGTTCGAACTCAAAATATTAGTACTACTCAGCCCAGTGAAGGAAAGTCTAGATTAAAAGCTCTATTAGGAAGTTCATTTGTTTAAAATCTGCACTGGTTTTCACAGATGGGAATCTGGTCTGTACTAAGGACAACTTTTGATTTTTGCATGTCCACATTTTTAGAAGAAATGAAAGCAGAAAGTAGAAAGCAGAACAGACAAATCTGTAGATGAAGTATTACTCTTATTTATAATTGAAGCAGGAAACTTCTGTAGGAGTTTCAAATTGGTCTTTATGAAAGCATTTTGGGTTCCTCAACAGGGACGAATCTAAATGAAAGTTTTGCTTATTTATTGCCAGATATGGTTAATTACTCTCTAAGGATGCCAGAATTTCTCCGTAAAATGGATTTCTCATGTTCCATTCCCTCCATTGTAAACCTTTAAATGAACAGGCTTTACTTTGCACATTGAAGAAGTTTACCTGCAGGAAGATCACATTGCTCAGTTGAGGAGTACTAACATGTGTATGTTGAATATGCTCCTTCCCTTTCTTAAATAGGCTTTTTTTTCCTTGCCAATAACAAATTCTCTAAAACAAATTACTTTTTCAGTGCAGCAGGTTGCTGATGGTTACTGTCTGAACTCTAGTGCAAAATACTACTTAAAAAAACCCAACCAACAAACAATCAAACAAAAGCGCACCACAAATCGCTTAGTAGCGGTATGAGGAAAGAAAAGATACTTGAGTTTCTTCCACAAGATACTGTAACAAGACTCAAAATAGAAGACAGAGTCTTCTACTGTTTCTGATCACAGTTTAAAAACAGCATTTAAAATGTCTCAGGCTTTTCTGAATCACACCATCTGTTTCATGATAAATTTAAGTATATTTAATCTTTATTTTTTTGGATCACTAACTTATATTAAAAAGTGGTCTCCTTTTTCTTTCCATAATCATCAGATCTTGTGAATTCCAAGCTCACATTTAAATTTATGCAGTTTAAGGTAAGCAAGCAGTATCAGTAGGGTGCTGAGTAATATGTCAAGTATAATGGGTTTTGGATTAAAATTGTGTAGAATGAACATACAAGCATATGGTTGTTTTAGGTCAGGCCCTCTTAAGAGGTGACTCAGTCATCCTATCCGCACATTGTCTCCCAAATTTACAAGAAAGTGAAGTATGGGCTAGCTGCAGTTCAGAGATATTAAATCCTAGCTTGTTGGCAAGATTTATCAGCCTTTGTATGTCATCTCTGTTTAAAGGTTTCAGATTCATTGCAAGCGCAAGGTCTTAAAAAAAAAAAAGTGATAGTGTACAATACCTGAAGAGCAGAGAAACATCCAAGGCCTGAATCAGTGCTCTTATCAAACAGACTTTAAGTGGAGCTAATGCTACATAGGAAGGAGAGATTAGCAGACAGAATATTTCCAGTTAATTAAATGTAACTGAAAATCTTGTTAACAAATATCAAAATAATTGTGGGTGATCTTACATAAAACCATAGTACAATATAGTCTGACTGTGCTCCTTTTGAGAACTCTTGTGACACTGAAGTTTATGGATGTGTGCATTAGGCATGGTAGAAGAAAAAGGTTAGAGCTTGATAGCAAAGCACTACAGATGCATGTTGTTATTTAGAGTTGAAGGTTTCTCTCTGGTGATTGTCTCCTTCATTAAGCCATGCAGATGAAAGGAATTCTGGATTATGTAATTGAGCATCAGGACACAGTCTGTCAAAGAGGATGAACTTTTGAATGCAGCTACTAAAAATAAATCATTTTACCTTGACATGCTAATACTCTCCTTAAGAGTTATCATGTGTGGCCTCACAGCTTGTGAATTACCATGCTTAGTGCTGTCATTAACACAGTTTGCAGGGCAGGGGCACAGCATGCAGCAACTTCCAGGGGGAATCTTGAACTTTTTGCGTGGAGGAAATAAAGGAGAGCTGACTTTTACTCTTGACTTAATTTTTTTTTATGATGTTGTCATAGCTTGTTATTTATAGAACAGCAGGAAATAAGAGATTCAAGAAGTTTGCATTTCTGACATGAGGAGTGTCCTTGGTGTTATAGAGGCGTGTAAGAGTCAGCTCTGGAACTGTTGTGCTGTTTGGCCATACTGGGCAACAGCAGGGGCTTGTGCCTCTGGTTTGTTTGAGGGCTGCAGTGAGATCCTTTATTATATGAGTCCTGTGTAGGTACAGGAGTTTTGCCATGTTTGCATTTTGAAGACAACTTTGAAAAATACGTGGGTGGCAGCTATTTTGGGCATTTTTGAAATTCTCTCAAGTCACCCTACTTCCTGACCCCTTCTCTAGTATTCAAGGTCGCTTTGGAAGAGTGATGAAAGCAGATGGAGGCTACATTCTTAAATGGTGTATGGACAGTTTAATAGTTAAAATTTGCTTCTCTATTCCAACATTTGATCATACTCAGAGTAAGGGTAGTGTGTATAGGGCACATTATATTTAAACTTTTCTTCATAGATTGAATGAAACGTGTTTGTATGAACACATGTGCGAGCTTAGTGATTTGCTCATTCTTACCTGTTATATATATTAAATGCTTGTGTTACAGTTTGAGTTCACGAGTGACATGAGAAATTAAGCCCCATGCATATATTACTCCATTGTTATTGTTGAGTTGAACATTCAATGACTACTTTTTAAATGTAGAACCTGGTAAGTTTACTGCTTTTTTTTGGAAGGCAGCTATTTAAACATAAACATTGATTGTAGCTCCAGTGCTGGCTTGGGAAGGGATAGGCTCTAACTTGAGTTAAAAGCCTTTGCTTAAAATGTAATAATATGCATGATAGCTTATGGAAGCTATTGCATGCTGAAAAATGAAGCCTATTTAATAATAGTCTTTTGAAGTGAAGATCAGTGTATTCATCTTAGAGTAATTTTCTACAGGAATTTCTAATTCCACAGGTTTAGAGTTGAGCCACAGAAGTCAAATAAACATCTCTAATATTTTTCTGTCATTTTCACCAGGTTTCCAGAATAAAAATAGGGTTGCAATCCTGGCAGAACTAGACAAGGAGAAGAGAAAGTTACTTATGCAAAACCAGTCTTCCACAAATCACCCTGGAGCCAGGTATTTTATGTTCTTAGACCTGTTGGACCATCACTGATTACATCAAGGAAAAACAAGCCAAGAAGCTAGTGATCTGTAAACTTATATAAATACTTAACAGAAGTGTATTCTGATGATCTTTAATAACAAGGCAGGGGTACATTGCTCTTTAGGAACATATTTAAAGTGGTTTACATAGCATGAATTTTTGCCTATATGATTTCCATTTGAGAATGAGAGAAGCAGATATGCTTACTCAAGTGTATTAAAGTCTATCATAAAGAAAAATCAGGGAGCAGCCACTGAGGAAACATTTCATTAAGCTGAAATGCTCTGGGGAATGGAAGTAGCAGACCATTAGGTTCAGGATTCTGTGTGCTTCAAGAAGCACAGTTACAGCAGGAGTGAGTTATTCTTGAAACTCCCTATGTGCAAGGTGAAACCAGTGTATGTTACAGCAGGTAATTCTGTAAAAGATGCTGTGTTGTAGGGATGATTCTACATCATAAAGTGTAATAGTCTAATCTGAGTTGAAAGGTTTCCCCCATAGAAGACAAGAAGATCAGATTTTTGTCGTAAATCAGTAACTAGAAAATCACACAATAATTTACGTGGAGAAATTGACATCCTTACACTTTGGGGTTATGGTGAATTGAGTGCAGTGCCATGTTCTAGACACAGTGTAACCCACAACACCTGTGTAAGAGTCAAATACTCTGACTACAGTCTGAGTGCTGTATACACAGTGCAGCCTGTGTCTTTTCTTCTGAGAGATTCCACGGCACTTTTAATTCCTTCATAAGGTCAAAAAACACGCAGAATACTTGAAATTGCCTCATGTAGACTTCTGAGTGAGGTAAGAAGTTACTATTAATAGCTTTATGTGGTTATAACTTGAGCAAAATTGTTGCAAAGAAAATCAGAATATCATACTGTTACGTACAGCTCCTGGCAGCAGTGTTTCTGTGCTTCATTATAAGCCTGACAGCTTTAGGGAGTGCTTGTTTACTCTCTTTTTTCTTTAAGGAAATACAACACTGTATTCTAGTGAGCAGAATTAGAATTTTCTAGTTTTGAAGGTGGACATGGGTGGAACCTACAATGCAACAGTCAGACTCTTGGCTTTGGTGTGGTGGGCTGCTGTGTGATTTTTGAAAAGCTGACAGTTTTTTGATGTTTTGCCGATGGTCTTGCACCACAGAGTTGTCAGAATTGAGACCATAAAATTTGTGCAAACTTGACCAATAGAACTTGATGTACCTAAAGCACAACAGTGGCAGGGACAGCATAAGGGTGAATGGGTTGGTTTCTTGACTTGGCATGTGAAAATCCTGTATCCAAGAACAGAAGACCTCTTTTGAAAAATATCAGCTTATGGTGGAGCCTTGGGCTTATCTATAGAAATCATATTGAAAAGTTAGAGAGTACAGATTACAAATTGCAAATTAAATACCTCCAAAATCACTGAAAATACTGTGTTTTAAATAAACTGAGTACTACTCTTCTCCAGCAGTGAGACTTATCTTTATACTTGCCATAAGCAAAAATTTTTCTGAATTGTTTAGCTTTTGTTATGCATTTAGGCATAGACTTGGCGGCAGATATTTTCATGAGCATGGCTACTTCTCAAAAACTGATTTACTAAATCAGCTGTTGACATTGAAACTGCTGGTAAAATTCAGTTGATGAATTTGCTTGGGATCCTTGTCATTCTGTCTCTGTGATTGGTAAGAGCAGAGATTTCAGCAGCAGTCTCCAGTGACAGTTTCAGAGGTAGTTGGAAATTGTTTTGCGTTACAGTTCTAATGGTAACCCTCACCTAATTTCCATGTTCTTTATATATAGAGTTGGAGGTGCTTTTTATGTCTTCTTTTTGGTTCAAGAAGTCAGATGAGTCCTAAGATGTAAAAGACAAGAAAAACCAGTAAATTTTAATTTGAAACCTTTTGCTGCAGTGAGATAGATATGCTAAATCAGTTTTAGGTACTCCAAGCTGTTACCAAAGGATCATTATTTCAGTTAACATCAATAGGAAACTCCTTTTTCATAGGTAGTGAACTGCTTCCCTCCCACCGAAGACCTGTTCTTATACTGAAGTCTGCAGAGCTCTTGTTAGTGCTTCTGTTTGTCACAGTTGTTTAGAACAGTCACTCCGGGAATGAGTAGTGGTGAAAGCACAAAGCTGCTTTAGAAATTCCTTGCATTGTCCAACACTGCACCCCACTGGTTTCATTGACTTCAGTGGGACTCAACCCATGGGCAAAATCCACAATAGGCTTCAGGTTTAGATTGGCAGAAAGTGTTTATGGTTTAGATTGGCAGAAAGTGTTTATGGTGGCTCAAATTATACAGCTGTGGTCACTCTACCTACCCTTTTTTCTCTTATATTTACAGATAGTCATTCCAAACAGTAACTGACAATTGTCAAGCCATGAGTGAAATGAGAGCTCAGGAAGTCATGGTACCCATGGCTAGAATGGCAAGAACACATTTTGGCTGTGGTCTGTGTCATACCATCTTGTTCTTTCTTGCAGCATTGCACTTGCAAGATCACCTCTGAATAAGGATTTCCGTGATCATGCTGAGCAACAGCACATTGCAGCACAGCAGAAGGCTGCACTGCAGGTGAGCTGATATGGTCAGAGTTCAGTTTGGCTCTGTTTAGATGTGCATCCCTTCAGAGAGCACCTTCCCTGCTCCTAGAAATATTGGAAAGCCCCTTTTAGGTATCTCTCATTTCTGCATTTGTCATAAGTGAAGTCTCTTTTGTTATGATAAAACATGTTCTTGGGCTTGGAGAGCTCCACCCAGCCCCACAGCCATCCCATCGTGTCTCTGTTGAGCTCCCCCCAGTTTGTGTCTCAGACTGAGCTCAGATGGCTCTCTTTGGCCTGCTGGCGATGCTGTTGCTGGTGCAGCTCACTGTGCCAGTTGTCCTTGATCACTCCAAGGGCACACTAAAGGCTCAGGCTGAATTTGAGATCCAGCAGGGCTCTTCGCTAGTGGTGGAGAGAGGGAATATGCAGAACATCTAACTTGCTGTAGTCCAGCCTTTGAACTGGGAAGGGGTATGTAGGATTTCACAGAGGTGTTCCATAGCTATACAGCAGCTGCCTCCCTCAGATGAACAAGCATATATCTACATCACATGAGCAGAATCCTGGTGTCTCATGCTTAGGATTGTGTCTGGTGGGACTCCATGTAGCAACTGTCATAAACCAAGAATTGCAAGCTGGTTATGGAAGGAAGTGGAAGTGGAAACATGGGGTCTAGGCAAAGAAGAGCAATCAGGAGTTGATTTGCTCCACCTCCATGGGGTTGGCTGAGAAGAGCAGAAGAGAATGTCCAAGTTAATTGCCCTAATGGGCCTTATTTTGATGTAGCTGATCTAGAATGCTGGGTTTGAATTTAACTTTCAGAATTAAGGAGCAAACTGGTAGAAATAAATAGTTAATGCTGCAGAAGCCATGAAGTTTTAAATCATGTCAGTGCTGCAGAAAGAGATGCTTTAACAAATGCTTTTCTTTTTCCAGCACGCACATGCACACTCCTCAGGATACTTCATAACTCAAGATTCTGCATTTGGAAATCTTATTCTTCCTGTCTTACCTCGACTTGAGGCAGAATGAGGAATGTTGTTTGTCTCAGAAATTCAAGATCTGATTTTTGTCCATAGCAGGAGCTGTCTGACCTTTTAATTTCTTTATGTATCCTAAAAACTACTTTTTTTCTGGGTTCCTGCAAATGCCATTCAGAAGTGTGAGCTCTAGTGATGGGGAAATAGTGTTGAAAATTTTTTATCCTGTATTATTTCTGTTCCTCTGTTGGGTCAAAGTCAAATGCAAGACTTTTCTTGGACTTTGAAGTGCACAGGGTTTGCTCTTCCCTGTTTCAGTGCTTCCTTTAAATAAATGTCCAAACCAGAGTCACCAAGAGATGCACAATCTGACAGCATTTATGTTTCTTTTTATTACTTACAGGTATGGTTTTTGTAATGAATAATGAAAATTATTTCTGTCCATTAAAACAGACACGAATTTGTCAAATGCATCAGCCAGTCTTCCTCCCCCACCCTCTCCTATGCAGGAACATTTCTAGTGTACTGTTTGCCATTGTAGCAACATTGGGTCTTAAGTCCTTAGTTACAGTGTGCCTGCCTCTTACCTTGCTTTGTGAAATATGAAAATGAATTAAAGTGGGAAAAAACCAAATGTTTCTAACAGTCTTTTTATGGATAAAATGTCAAAAGTTCTCTGGACATCTCAGATGGAAAGTGTTGTCTGCAAAGACAATCCCATTTAAAAGGTCAAATTTTTCTAGTTATGCCTTTTTTGAGACTTGGTGTGTTTTATTTTTGTTCACTTTTTTCCTTGGTGTTTTTGTCCGTGGTAGACATTTCCAGCTTCCTGCTGGAAGAAAATCTATTTATATTAAGGTAAATTATTTTGGAACTGTCATTGTGCTACCAGGATAAAGTAACTTAGAATGAAAAATAGTTCTTACTTAGACTTCTTTATATCTCCACAGCTTTGCTCATGCAGTTATGCTGCTGCACTGATTGTATGGCCTATGGAGGCAAGTTTTAGAAAACAGAAAAGAACAGAACTTACATGAGAACAATAAATCAGAAAGCATCTGTTAAACTGGTGCCCATTTGAAACAGCTCTGTCATTTGCAGAAACTTAGCTGTCCCATGAAGTTTCCAGGGTTGTAGTTGGCATTTCCTCAGGGATATGTAGGGTATTCTGTTTCTGTATGCAGGGGATTGCCTGAACCCAATAAGCACTACTGAACTAACTGTCTGTTCATATTTCACTGTTAATGTTTGCAGTAATCATGAATACAGAACAACTACCAAGAGATGGGGGCAGGTATGAGGGAAATGCCATTGCTTTCATATACCTCAGCTGAACATAGACCTTTGCAGAAACTGGAGCGTACTGAAACATTTTCAGGAAGGAGAATCTTCTGGACCGAGCCTGGTAGAGCTTAAAGATGTGCAATTTTAACAAGAACTATTCATACCATATGCTTTTTTTTCTGGGTTCTGATGTGATGAGTCATGGGAATGATGATGGTTTTTGTGGGCAGTGGAGAAAGAAGTCACTTCTATTTTCTGTGGTTGGCTCTGTGTAGCTTTTTTATTTAATTACCAATTATGAAATTACCTTATGAAATTGTCCTGTCTATTCATTATTCTACAGTGTGAGCTGCATATCTTATTAGGTGCTTTGAAGAAAAAGATGTGCAAATCTCAGTGTAAAAGAGGCAGCTATGTATCTGTCCAACCTGGAAACATACAAAGGCAAAGGTGTTAAAGCAGATGCAGCAGAAAGCATGGATTTTATATTTGAGTTGAATTAACATTAAAGGAGCTCTGTGCTACATATTTGAACTGCAGAATCTTTCAGTATTGTACAGACTGCAAATGATCCAGTCTATGCAACAGCAATCATCTTTTTCCCTGGCAAAGTTATAGTTGCTCCACTGAAGGAGTTAACAGTTGTTGGCTGGGTTGTTTTCACCTTGGGTATTGAAAGATCTGCTTTTGGAAATCCAGGGCCTGAGCTCAAGAATTAAGGGGGGGCGGGTGGGGAATCAATGCAGCTGTTGTGATATTTTAAAGTTATAATGTCTCAAATTATTCTTTGAAATTCTGAGGGTCTTGGTGCTATATGTAGATAGGATTAACTGTCAAATACACAAATTACATATGGAAGCGCCTATCTTAAAATGGCAGACTCAAGCACTTACTGTCAGATGCATCAGTGTGTCTTGCCACTCTTTCTTTCCTACTATTAATCAGTATTGGATACATTAATCTATCCCTATACAGTAACTTCAGCAAAACCCTTTCTCCTCTTGGAACTACACATTCAAATTCAAACTATTACCAGTTAGAATACATGCGAACCAGGAAGTGTCTGGGATGTGTTGCTCCTAGCAGTAGCCACTAAGTTGATCCGATGAAAACTGAAGGCCTGTAATACAGTGCTGGCCTGTGTACCTCAACACGCATGACTCAAGTAATTTTTATTTAATTTGCTACAATAGAAATTGGCCTTTCCACTCACCACAGGTTGGTGTAGTGTCTGTGTCAGAGCTGAATGGTGGGGTGGAAGCAGCTCGCAGACTGGGCTAAAGCATCGTGAGATCAGATTTTTTTGAAGTGATGGCAGAGTTGTAATCTCTTAAGAACAGATGAGGTAAAGGGATCAAAGATGTACAGAAGCACTAAAAGAACTGAACCACAGCTTGTTTCTTAGCTCTGTCATCTTTTTCTTCCCCTAGACAAGTTTTCACATCTTTGTTTTCCAAAGTCACCCAGCATTTCCCGACCACAATAGCCTCTGGAAAATGCTCTGGTTTAACTCAAAAACCTTGGCCTGTAAAACCACGTGTGATTTCCTACCATATGTGGTTTTACTCTCCCTTTTTTGTTAGTATTTTCATTCTGCTGAATTCCTAGAAGCACTGGTGTGAAACTGATAAATAATACCTGATGATGGGTTTGACTTTATATCAGAACACAAAATACTCAGTGCAATGCACTAGTGGAAAGAAATTACAGCCCCTGGGTCAGCTTGCTTAGATCTTCCTAATTGCTTTGATGTGCTCAATCACCAAAATTGATAAATACTGTTTTTGCCTTCATGTGCTTTCAGCAATAGTCAAGCCACCTGTAGTTTTCTAGTCCTGTGGACACAGCTGGGTAGCACTGTTCATGACCACTGTTCCAGGATCCTTGTCTGAGGTACACACTTTGGATGGCTCTAGGCTTTTATTAAATCACCTTTGTAATTTAAAGGCTAGAGGTCACTTACCATCTTGCTGCATAGCAGAGAAGTTAGTGCTCCAACCCAAACCTTGAAGAAATGCATGAAGAGGCCAGGCTTTGCTCAGCCTCTTCAGAGAAGACGAGAGTGTCAATTATCAACCAGTTTACAGGGAACATGAGCTTGAACTGATGGAGGGAAATGCAGACAATGGCACCTTAGAAGTGCGCAGCTTTTATGGCTTCTCTTACAGAATCTGCAGGGTTGTAGGGGGAGAGCACAAGGGCTGAAGGAGGGAATGAGCCAGAAACAATGTAGTATGTGATCGCAGACATGAGCAGGCAGTGACTATCTCAGTGCATCCTCTTAAGCATTATGGTAGCTAATTCATTCAAAATCAGGAGAATGGCTGAGAAAGCAGCTGGATGATTCCTGATGGCCAAATTTATAGCAGTGACAATTCCTCCTGACAAATCAGCTCAAATAGCAAGCCTTCTTGAAGGACAGTCAATCAGTCCTGCTGAAACTGAAGCTGATCCCCATGTTTTGGGGAATATATGGACACATGAATCCCAAGGGAAAAATCACCAGAAGGCAGCTGGTCTGCTGGATGGTCTGTGTGCGCAGACACCTCTGAAGGAGGAGGTGGAGAATGAGGGAAGGATTGTCTGACACCCAGCTGGGAAAGTCCACCTGTCCAGAGCTCTGCGTGCCTGATTTATGTTTTGCTAACACACAGGGAAAATTCTGTAGCACCTGCCAGTAACGCTGTTGTGTCTGGAAAGTCTGGTAATCAGTGTGTTCTGAAACACATCTGGAGGGCTGAAATACAGAGCTTTCTGTAGTGAATGGCAACTTTGACAACTAATCAGTCAAGTAGTTTTCACATGCTGTTAGGTTAATAGCTTGCTCGGTGAGTTTGTGCATTTATTGGAAGCACAGAGCACAACCCAGGTATTTTACAAAGACAACGTTGTCCTGTTTCCTAGTTCTTCCACTCATAGAAGGAACCAAATGATAAATGTTTTTGGGAAAATGATCTTTACATTCCTTCCTTGAATGCACGTTTTTTAGAGAGAAAGTTTAATAGATTAAATAGAGAAAGCTTGATTATTTCAGTGAGACATTATGAAAAATTACGTTAAACTACTGGTGAGGAAATCACTTTCCTCAGCTATTGCACTCTGCCAGGGTCATTCAGGTATTGAATTATGAAAGGTGGTGACATAGTTCTCAATCTGTTCTCTTTAAGGCCTCTAATCTGGATGCTTTGGTGTCAGTGGATGCTTCTTTTTTCATGAAGATTTTGTAGATAAGGTCTGAAAGTTGTTCAAAATCTACCTGGAATGTACAAATCACAAGCTTACATGCCACCTTCACTATGCACATATGTTGCACATATCAGCATATTATATGACTGGGTGGTGGTGCATGAACTTCAGTAGGGAAAGATGTCTCATTGTAAAAAATATGTGTAGATTTACAGACATCTTTACATCTTCATAGGCTTTTTCAGTGTGTTATTTGAATCCTCGCATGAGGCAAACTATGTTTCTGTTACCTCCATTTTTGCAGATGAAGAAAAATGCTAAGGGGTTCCAATGCCTGCCGGTACACAGAAAGCCAGTGGAATTGTCAGGATTAGCTCCTGGTTAGTCAGTTAGTGTGAGGCATCATCTGGAGACTATTGCTCTGCATCCCACACCAGCGGCTGCTTCATCAACCCCTACTAGGAGGCACAGAGCTCTTTGCTTTCTAGTTTGTCTTTGCTTTCACTAATAGCTAGTGCTTTAGCTTTGGTTTGGTTTTCTTTTTCAGATGGTGAAGACAACAAAGTAAGTCAGAGTCTGGGCCTTTTCTGTTTAAAATTTTGAGTAGGAGAGATGGAAACCAAAAGAGTAATGTTACACTCTGTGTTTGGAAAGAGCTTTCTTTCTTGTGCTTTGTTGTTTGCAACAGTGACCAGATAAAGTTTCCCATTATGCTGGGGTTTAGCCTTCACTGCATGCCCTAAGTATGTTAGAGCATCTCTCTGCCTGGATGACTGTAGATTTTCTCCACCTGTCAGTCAGTGCCCACTTGTGGAAGTGGTAATGGCCAATGTGGGCCCAAGCCAAAGCTGCTGTCTCGATATTTCTCTGCCAGCAAGACTGCACAGCTGGCTCACAGCTGGGACGGGTCAGAAGGACTGAGTGTTTACAGCCTGTCAGGAAGAGACACACCAAGAGTCATGTTCTCAGGCTCTGCCCAGCAGAGGGCTTGTTTGTCCACAGAAAGCAAAATGCTGTGCACTGGCCTGTGTAGGACTGGCTGCCTTGCCAGCACCCCTGGTAGTCTCTGTAAGGGGGGATTTATGTCCCATCTAAATGAAGGGTTGGTTTGAAGCTACTCATTCTAAGCATAGCCTGCTTCCCTGGACTTTGAGTTTGCAAAGGCTGACTTTTCCCTCTGAGCTGGGCCTGTGTATGTGTCCCAGTCTCCCTCTCACGCAGATTGGCTTTGTCAGATTCAGGCCTAATCACTTTCAATTTAATACCTTGAACTGGTCAGTTTGCTCTGTCAGCAAACAAGCCTGCTTAACCTGTCCATTTGGATAGACCATCTTTTTTTGATGGGTTTGCTGATCACATGACACAGCAGTGTACTGACAAGACAGGTTCCTAAGCACAGGAAATCATTAATAGGACAAACAACTGCTCATTCAGCCTTTGGTACTGATCTTCCTTGCAGCCAAGCATTGCTAGAGCAATCACAAAAAAAAACCTATTTCCATTTATAGTAATGGAAATGCTCCCCCATGCTCCTTTGTACCTTATTCCAGTGATAAACTCAGTGGCAAGGTTTCAGAGATGTCAGTAGGATGTCCTGATCTCTGCAGTACATAAGAAATTGTGAGTCCAGCAGCACTCACCACAGTTTTCTGGTGATACAGACATATGTTAAGGATAGCTGGTGATATTCAGCTAAGAGTGGAAAATCTAAAACCTAATACATTTTTGCTTATCCAAAACCCCATCTCAGTGATATCCTCTATGTCTTAAGTCAGCAAATTGCTTCCCTCAGCATGGCTGAAGACAACTCAGTACAGCAGCAGAGCCCTAAAGCAGACAGGAAACATGGTGATTCTTGTTTCTGTGATTATTACTTTTTAGCCTTTCCACAGTAATGTGGTCTGTAATTCTAACTGGCCTGTTTTTTATGCCCTTTTGGTCCTTTGTAAGTCCTGTCAGCAATTTCTTAAAACTTTCTGTAGTTTCCCTGTCAGTTACCATTTTTTCTCTCTGCTAGACACATTCATTTCTCTCAGTTACACTGTGATGCTTCTCCAGCTCCACTTCTTCCTTCCCTCCCTCCCTCCCATTAGTGTTCCTTCCTTGCAATATCCCTTACCTGAGCTACTTGGTTATGCCACAGCAAGTGTGCTTTAATGAAGCTCTATTTCAGTACTAAACAAGATGTAAGCGCTTTTTTGACAGATGCAAGCAAGACTAGGATCAGAAAGTTACTTCTGGGAACCCTCAGAGTATGTTCAGCTGAGAAAGGTCATGACGCTATTGGATAGCTCAGCATCACCTTGAAGTACTCAGATTCATTGATGAGGAAGTTGGGGGCTTTTTGCAGCACTTAAACAGTTCTATTATTATTGAAGAGTGACATAGATTGTCTAGAGTGTAGCAAGCTGAGTCAAATGAAATGATGGCTGATTCCGGCCTGAGCAGAAGCCTGATGACATGAGTGAGGGATTCTGCCTGATTTTGGCAAAGACTAGCTAAGCAACAACAGCACCTGATAAAGTGCACATTGAGCCATCTCAGTCCAGAGCTCTCTAAGGGGACAGGTTAAGGCAAAGGGATGTAAGGCTCCTCTGCTTTAACCCACAGAGACCACCTGCATATCACGTGTGGTCAGTTTGCCACATCCTCAGGCTCTGACCGAGTGGAAGGCAATTGATTGGCAGAGTCCACCCAGAAACTTATTTCTGCCACCAGGCTGTAAGGGTCAGAAAAAGAGGGTAAAGCAGATGAGTGATGACTGGAAAAAGGTTTCTTTTGTGGGCCATGGAGCTGCAAGATGAGTTGCCAGTGCTGTCTTGGAACACGGGTTTGTGCTGTGCATGTGGGAGCACCTCAGTCCTTTTAGCTCTGGAGAGTTCTTATTCTCTGCTCCCCTGAGACAGCCTCACACTCCAGCTCAGTGCTGGGAAGTGCAAATGTCATCCTAAATACAAGATGATAATCAGAGCCCAGTGAGGCTTTAGTTCTCACTTTCCAAGGGAGGACTTGGGACTTCAAAATAGTGTTACCCTTTGCTGGTGCTTCTCAGACCATTTGAGAAGGGAACCAGAAATCCCAGAGGTAAGTTCACCACACAGGGGCAGTCTGTGTTCTGCTCTGTCCAAGCCTGGAATGTGACCTGACCTCCACAGCACAGGAAAGTGCCTGGATTCATGCTTGCAAAGGCAGTGCTCTCAGTCTGACTGGAGCTCATTCCCTTGGGATGAATGGTGGAAAAACAATTGAAACCCAAGCTGACCCACGGTTTCACACAGTTGAGAGCCTGACCCTCAAGGTAATAAGGTTGGTTTTGTCCAAACCAATGAATTCAATGCCTGTCTAAAGAAGATCAGTTCCAAAGAGGAAGGTTGAGAAAGATGTGTCAGGGAAATGCCTATTCTGTGCTAGTGCATATTTTTATGCATGGTCAGGACAAGCATAATGCCAAACTGGAGAAGGCTTTATCTCCTCGCAGTAGTTCACACACAGATAGGATTCATACAGGGCTTTTCCCTCACTCAGAGGACATAAATCTCTGTCAGACAGCAATTCTCTGCCCCCCAGTTCTGCAATGTGTGTTCAGGATAGATTGTGCATTCCGCATAAATGTGCTATTATAGGTTCATGTAGATATATCACTGTAGATTTCTTTCTTGCTTTTGATACTGCAATGAAAGCCAGTGCTAGGTCTCCTTCCCCTTCCCTGACTCTTATCTATGTTTTTCTTTTCTGTCAGCTATTTCCTACAATATTGGTTTCAAGTGGCAGGAGATCTACCTATGGGATTTCCTAATGCGTACGCTATAGTGAAAGTTACAGACTTCTCTTTGACAATCAAATTGACTTCAGAATATCCCCATAAGTAATATTTACAGCAAGTAACAAAATACACCTTGCAGATCTCTATAAATATGTCAGCTTTTCAAAACCAGGACCATTTTCATGAAGAACAAAGCAAAACACTGAATCACAGCTAGGGTTCTTACTGATATGACATATAACGCGTTTTTACCAGCAAGTGTTAACTTTCCTGCATTCATAATTCACATAATTGGTGGGAATTGTGTCCTTAATTTTTTTGCATTTAGGGACTGGACTTGGAATTGAAAAAAATTCAAAACTCAGATGAAGGAATAATGATCTTACTGGTTCCAGTTGAGTTAAAGATTCCAGTTGCAAGGATATCTGTTGAAACATTTTCATCTCATTAGTAGTCAGATGATGATCAACAATTATGCCATAGTGTTCTGCTTTATTCTGATGTGGCAGGGGAGATGTGTTACACAGAACTAGAACAGTCAATGTCTGTATAGTGGGCATGGTAAACCTCACCAGTCCTCTCACAGCACTGCAATAGGATAGATAAAAACCCAGCCATACCTTTCCAGTGGAACAGAAGCTGATTGCACATCAAATACTGCTCCCCAGCTCTGTGCTGTCTTCCAGGTTGTCTTTGTTTGTGACTTAAAGGCTTGTCACAGCTCCAGCTGAAAGGAAGTTTTCCTCTCAAGAGAAAGTGGACCAAGCCACTCGTGGACCATAGCTGTAGAAGTTCAGGGCAATTATTTTTATACCTGATCACCAATTTTTGAAAATTACATACATACAATTTGGGTGTCAGACCGAGAATTTGACTTCTGATACAAGCCCCTCTTAAAATGTCTCAAAACCTGGTCAGCCCCAAACTGGTTTTTTTTTAAATTTAAGTGTTCACCCATTTATACATGACTGACCGAAAATGCTGTTCTTTGGTGATGCTATTTTTTGTCTGCTAATTATTTGCTAATTAATTCTATGTCTTTGTTTATTAATTGGTAAACCTGTAGTAGTTTATATCAGTGCCTACAGATCTAGTGTAAATGATCAGGTAATGAAAAATAACTGTATTTACAATATGCCAAACAAGCTTACAAAGCTGTGAACCATTAAAAAATACGATTCACAAGAAAATAATTTTTGTACAGTGGCTCTGAAAGCATAGGCACTTAAGCTTCAGGGGTTCTTGGTCCCCAGAACTCAGTCTCCTTTCTCCTAGCTATGCTTACTGGGGAGGAAAATCCATCATATACATGTTACCTGCCTCCAGTGAAGAAAAAACTCTGCACCAGCTCTTTCCTTGGAAGACCTCATAGTGATGAAGGAGACCACTGCTCCCCAGCTCTTCAGAAAAAAATCAGTATTCATCCCAAAAATGGGCCCTCAGCATGCTCTGCCTTCCTCTGCCCTGTCCTGTCATTCCACTTCTTTCTCTTGTTTGAAAGCAGCTAAACTTGTTCACATCATCCTAGAGACTGCTTGGGATGCTGGATGCGGAGAGCAGATAGAGGGCAGAGTTGCTCTGTCTTAGATGCTAAGATGGAAAAACTTCCTGGAAACCTTTAGTGAAAGAAACAAAAGTAAAGTTTTCACAGTGCTCCAGGTTTCTTCACCAGCTTGAAGATGACAGCTCTGAGGGAGGATATCCCCACCCTTGGCTCCTTGTACCAACCATTCCTCATGCCTCTGACCTGCTGCCAAACCACCAGGCAGGGGTGACTTGCCTCTCTTGTATGCACATGTGCTTGTAGAGAAGGCACTCTGGGCAGAGCTTGTGCTCATGGGGGATCCAGCCATAACAGTCCATGTTCTGCCTCTTTTCTTGCCTCCTGCTACCATTCTGGCAAAAAATAACCTGTTCTGGGAGTCTCTCAGCAATACAATGTCATCAGACTCTCTGCCTGCCTTCTCCTGCAAGATTTGCATGTTCAGGTCTTGGCTGCAGTATTTCCCCCTGGAGAGCAGGGCTATGGGGCCGTCACCTCCCAGGCATCTTATCCTCCACACCTCTCCTCATCAACAAGGAAGGAGTAGACACTGTGGGAGCAGTCATCAGACATGCCTTGCTCAAGACCTCCGGCTTATTCTTCAGTTTTCTCGTGGAAGAGCTGAATGTGTTGCTGGTGGTGGAGAGAGCCTCCACCGGCATTCCTGAGGATCTGATCCAAGCCTAGATGGATAGTGCAGAATGATGTGTCTACAAAGTCAGATCCATCTGTTTTCTTCATGGCGATATAGAAGTCCTCCAGGGGCACACTCACCTTCACTGCTGGGATTGGAAATAAAAGCATTACAATGTATTTTCAGAAAGGAAATGCATCACAGGTGGGAAAACACATTTAGAGCATCTCTGTGCTCTCTCTGAAGAACCCTGCAACAGCTTCCATGCTTCCCCAGAAATTTGTTTCTTGGCAGCCTTAGAGTTTGGGGAAGAGGCTGCAATGAAATGCTGTGTAAGCAGTGTAAGGGGCATTCAAAGAAATCATATGCATTTCGCTTGCTGGTGCCACTTTTACACCAGCTGTAGAAATCCAGATTCAGAAGAAAGAAGCCAAATTCCTGGCTTTTTTTTTGAAGTGAATGAAGGTTCCAGTTGCACTGAAGTGTGACTGTGTAAATGTGTGTGACCTGCCACTTGGGTGTAATACTCTGTACTTTCACACCAATGTGGTACTTATGGAAATGGATACTTTTCAGGTGACGAAGGAGAGGAAGATGGAGGAGGAATGAGGAGAAAAAGAAAGAAAGGTAGCAACTTCTTCTTTTAGCCATGAGATGTCAGTATTGCAATCAGACTGCCAGTCTGGCTGCTTTTGCCTGCCAATATCTTAGATAAACCTAACAGAGAAATTTAGTAAAAAATGTGAGCAGGGTTTTTATACTTTGGATCTTAGCCAAAGTTCTTAATTTTGGGGTAATGTTTTTGATGTTTCTGGGAGTTCATTTTTGGAGAAAAGTTCTCAAATGCCCAAGGTTACACTGGCTAGCTCTAGAAGCAGAAACCATACCTTAGGGTAACAGCAGGAAATTTTGTCTCACAGAGCATGAGACTAAGGTTGTGCACAAGCATTATGTACAAGGAAACCTTTAGCATCGCCCTGGGTTTCAAAGCTACTGTATCAACCACGAAGGAAACAGGGTATAAATTAGAAAAGGTTACAGTTTTATTGAGAGAAACTTGGAAAATCCCCAAGACCGCAAGCACATAAACAAGGCTGAAAATTCTTCTCTTTTAAACTTTATGATAATTTCATTTCATCAGAAGGAATGACTCCCCAGCACTGAAAAAAACCAGTATTCTGCAAAGTTCCCTGACCGTAGTGATGCCCATACAATCTCTGAGTCCTTTGGTGACGCACCACTATCTCCACACACTGAGAGCACAGGGATAGCCTCAGTGGTGTTGGGGCTCACAGCACTTGAAGTCATCATCAGAATTAAATTGTTGAGCTTAGTTGAATATGCTTGGAAAAAAATAAAGAAAGGGTACAAAAATAGCTTGTCCTAGTGACACACTGCCACCATTGCTGAGGAGTAGGAATTTATGTGTTTTTCACAAAATAGGAAGAATTTAAGAAAGATAATTTTCCCTGATGCTTTCCCATGAGTTTATGTGCTGAAAACTAAGAAGCACCAACATGAGTTACCCTACTGCTGCTGAAAAGCTAAGAATGTATTGCCACACAGAGCTAGTAATAGAGAGGGAGTTACACAGTGTTACTGTACTTTTGTCTTGCTGTAGAAACTGTGGGAGGATGGCAAAGGCAAAGGTTTTTCCGTTTTTAATTGGTGTTGGCACCATCAAAAAACTCTCCCTATTCCTTTACTGGCTGACACTGTGCTGCCAGTGCATCTCTCCACCACAGGTGTCTGTGCAAGCCAGACAGGCTAGGATAGTCAAGCAGCATTTCCACCCATACACACTCTCTTCTCCCTATTAGGCACAACAAAAGAAGTTCCTGTTGCTTCAGTGCACCAAAGGCAGGTGCACTGGGGTGAATACCATGACTTAAATGAAGACAGGCAGTGTGCATTTCATAAATTGAGAGCTTCAGCCCTATAGGCAGGAACTAAAAGCAGAGGATTCATGGAGAATTTTTTATAGATGTTCGGACACTTAATGTATTTTTTGAAAGAGTAATGCATTTTTACAATACCACTGAAATTTTATTATATCTACTATACTTTAAAGTCTACTTTTTATAGGGCTGAAATTAATGGGATTTTGCAGCCCAATGAATTCAGCAGTGAGAGGTTGCTCTGAACATCGATGGACTGTGATTCCCACAGTGACTATCTCAGTGTGGTAGGAAGAGGGAAAAGGTGGAACATTCAAGGTCAATGGGAGGGAGAGGCTGGATTTCTCCTTCAAACCTCTGATTTTTTTGGCCACTGCTGACTGTTACTGCAGTCCCAGAGGTGTAATGCTGCACACCAGGAAGATGTGATTTTAAAAAGAAGTTTACATATTTGCAGATTTTTCTGTTTATATAGTATATCAAAGATAAAGGAACTGCATAAATCCAGCTGAAGGACGCACTGCAAGAAAATCAAGCTGGAAAGATGAGCCCTACCAGGCCAACAATGCAGGCCCATTGTCTAATCCTCTGAGCTCTGGACTCTTCTGTAACAGGAGTCCCCAGTCCGTGGTGTGCACATCCCTGACGTCTCAAGGTCTCGTCCTGGAGACTCCAAGAAACATTGCCTGAAAAAAACTACACAGAGAGAACATGTGATAAATGCACATTTCTGTGCAAGTCTATCAAGGGACAGAAATCTCCTGAACTGAAGGGACCCATCTCTTCTGCACACACTAGTCAGTGGACAAAAGGACTTATTTCCATCTGAAAGGTAGGCTGCAAGCATTTTTCCTAAACTAAGCTGTGTTTAAAACCTTTGATTATGGCAAATGTTCCTCCTGTGCCTGTGTGCAGCCTGGCTGACTCGATGAGCTGTGAGCTTGGTGAGTTGTTAGGTGGACAGGTGAGCTAAGAGAGGCCAGGGTGCTCACAGCAATGATGAGCTGCTCTCACCAGCGTCTCCTTGGCAGAGGTTTGCCCTCTTGTGCCCTTGGGTCTCGCTCAACCCTCTCGCAGCCACTCTTCAGGCACTGCTTGCCCCCTACCCATTCCCCATAGGGTTTTGTACTTCCCAGGGTGTTTCTCTGCCCAGGCCGTGGATCAGTAACATTCAGTGCCACATTTCCCCACAAACTGCTTGCCACCTTATGAGTTGTGACTGGCACACAGTAGCTCATCCAAGGACTACTTCTGAGGACACCCAGAGCATTTTGGGAAACAACCTTATAAAATCAAGATCCTAAATATACAACACCAGTTGTCCTGAAAGATATAATAGTTCCAGCCTCACTGATATTCTCACACTGCAATTAATCCCACTTAATTACCTTCTGACAGGCCTTGGCGTGAAAGGTTGTTTCTTGAATCAAGAATTTATTTAGGCAATTTATTGAACTGCAACAGGAAACAGAGACTTAGATTGCTTCTGGCTTCCCAAGGCAAGGTATATCATGTGCTAGGAAATTAAGTCCTAGTTCCCACTTTTTACACATTCCAGATCTTCAAAAGTTGTGTGTCTGGTTTGAGCTGAGCTCTGGCACTTGATAGCCTGCAGTAACAGCTTCTGATTAGTGCCACTCAGTGCTGAACGAGGGTACACGGGTTGCCTCTCAGGAATGCTTCATAGCACGTGCTCAGCTGTGAACATTAAGGTCTGTATCAGTTTTTCCTTTCCTTCTCACGACACACCTTTGTGTCAACATCTCAGCTGGTGCATATGGATGAGATAACCCAGGGGGTTATCCCTGGTGCCATGAGGGCTGAGACCCCCAGCTGAGAATAAACACCTTGCTCTGAGAGCAGATGTAGAGAGAGATAAAAATTAAATATCATTGACCAAAAGACACTACTTCACAATATAAAACTACACAAATTTCCACAGAGACAGAAGCCTCCTACACACTCCCTGGAAATATTCAGGGCTTCTCCCAAGATGTTTGGATGCATCTCCGTGGATACTTTTCCAGAAGCTGAGAGGAAGGGTCCTATGTATCCCCCATCAGAAACTGGATGGTAAGATGCATTGAATCCTAATCTATAATATTTCTTCACTAGCTGTAGTACAGGGACCTCAGTCTCATGCTGTATTGTTTATCTGCTAGTACTGTTCCTTGCTTATCCTGTGTAGTTAGTCATCTGTTAAAGTCTTGTGTGGTTTAAATTTGTGTCTATCAAATAAATAATTCATTTTGTTATAGACTTAAACATTTTTAATAACTTGCAATGACAGCAGGCTTTGGGGTGCTGGCCACCTCAGTAAAAGCGCTGTCTAAAGCCCAAGGGCTGGGAAAGAGAAACTGGTTTAAAACTCCCCTCTCCATTTGTACCAACTTTGTCCTCATAAACAACAAAAAATAGCATGAATTGCTCTAGGGCTTGGATGTGTATGAGATCAGAAAACAATGGCTGCTGCAATAAGTGTGCAGCTCTAATGCTTGCAGAAAAGGAGTCTTAGCCTAGCAAAATAAAACTGAAATAAAATTACAGTTTGTGATGGCAAGCATGTATCAGCTACCATCTGTAAGGGTGTTCTATCACCAGAAGGCTGGAATAAGAGTTATCCTGCTTTGAACTCCTCCAGGAAATACAGCATCCTTGCTTATGGGGTTTGGGTGGGGTTTCTGTTTGGTTGGTTGGTTTGTTTGGGGTTTTTTATTGGCATAAATTGCTTTTTTCTGGTCCCAAAGAAAACACTTTATCACTTTCATTCTTGAACAATGTAGAAGAGTCCTGAAAAAACTGGGATATTGGTTCAATACAACACCAGCTCATGGGCTCTGTTTAAAGATAAGGGTGTTCCCATTCTGCCTCCATCACTGACTTCAGTGGCTGCGTAGCAAACCACAAAGCTCTTTGCCCAGCATTGCCTGTCAGGAGCCAGATGATGCTCCAAGCATGTGAAATTATGTCTGAATACCTGGTAGAGTACTTGCAGTACTGTTGGGCCATCAGCAGGACATACTAACAAATCTACACCCTTACTCCTTAAGGAGTTCCTACTGGGGCCTATCAGACTGAATTTGGAAAAGCATTAAGCAGCCAGAAGAGCCATGCAATCACTGGTTCCCTGTGTTATAATCACATCAGCACTAGACTATTCTAGATCAAGTCCCACAGGACTGAATTTTTGTGTGTAACTGGCAGGCTGCCTGTGCAAACTCAGTGCCACTGTAGGTACATGAGTAACTAATAAAGGAGGAGATCTTGCACCTAAATCTGAGTCCTGCTCCCTCATCCCTAAAATGCCTTTTGTCTCCCTCTTCCTGGGTCTTCGTGGAGGGTTTATTTTCTAACTACACTTCAGGGGACGCAGGCTAGCCATGTGAACACACAGCACCTGAGCTTCCTTACCTCAGTAAGGCAGGTGCCTTTGGAAAATTTATCTCTGTTTTTGGTTCAGCTGATGCCATACTCATAGCAGAAACCCTGCAAAATCACACAACACTGCCGTCTGTGCAGGCACAAGCCCTCTTGCCAAACGTCTGTCACTGAGATGATACAGGAAGAAAACAGTCATATTTTCTTGCCAAAACACGCACACACCCTACATCTATGCAGACAATTGTGCAATTATCTGATGGCTGGTGAGTGCTCCATGCCAGACCATTTAAGTTGAAATGCACATGGTAAGTGTCTGGACACCTAATGCTCTGCTCCATGCTGATGCCAGGAGTTGCACTGTGCATGTGTTTGGTGAGGGAAGAGGAGGAGAGTTGTCAGATGAGATAAAAAGGTGCCATCAAAACTAGTTAGAGCTCAGCTCTGATGCCTCTTTCCATCTCTGCATGCTTCTTCTAGAGCACAGGCAGTTCCTCATGCAGAGTTCCCTGCTGCTCATAATGCAAGTCAGCAGTCACCTTCTCAGTGGCACTACATCAGAAAAAACAGCATCTGTATTCATCCTCCCTCTATGGAGGCAAAATACTAATCTTCCCCCACAACTACTGTAAATAAAGAAGATAAAGATATCTGCAGTATCTGGAGGTTCCTAAAATCCACAGATTCTGCTCATCTTCAACTGCCTCTTACTGACTTTTGTGCTAGCACATGCAGCAAAGACACTGACACACACCACAGGCTCCTGGCAGATCCCGCTGTTGTTCAGCAAGAACAAGGATTTTAGATGCTGTTTAGAGGCACCCAGCTCTCACTGGGTGAGCCAGAACATATTTCCTGCTGGCCTGCAAGCATCAGGGGCCTGATGCAGCACCAATGTGGTCTGATCAATTTCTGGTCTGCTGAATAGTTTCATAACCACTTTTTACAACTGTGTAAACAGACGTGTCTCCAGAAGGGGCTCCAGACCCATGAGACTGAGCACAGATGCTGTGGAGAGGTGACCCCCACAGCAGATGGCATGGCAGAGGAGGATACAGCCTAACTCTCCGTTTTTGTAGCATGGGCAATGTTTTTCTACTCAATCATTTCTTCATGCGACCCTTTGCACATGAGAACTTCTGTCCACCCTGAGCCTTCAGGTGTCCTTCACCAAGGTCCAGACACACAGAAATCTCCTTCCAGAAGCAGATGAATGGCATCATCTTGTATGACAGAGTTAATGGTTCCATGGCTAGTGGCATCCTATCTCCTCAGTGCTCAATGCTTCTGCTGCTTTTCCTGAGCTACACATTTAAAGCATGGTTTTCTCCAGTCCTGTTTCATTTACTATTTTGCATGGTGTGGTGGTTTAAAAATAGCTTGGAATTAAACTCCAGATAAGGTGTTCCTGTTCCCCCTACTCCTATTCCAGTGAGAGAGGGACAAATGTTGAGATAACAGTGGTTGAGATAAAAATTTACTGAAAACAAACGGCAATTAAATAAGAAACACAGAAAAGCGGCGCAATACTAATAACAAAAGTATGCCAAAGGGAAGGTGCTTTACACACAAGAGATGTTCGCTACCTCAACTCAGCATGCTTGGCTGCTGAGACAAAGACAAGATGGCAGATGCTCTCCCCAGATGGCATTCTCAGTCCCTGAGCACAAGACAGTGAATAAAAATGACAGAAAAACCTCCCAAAAGCT